CAGCGCTGCCTCCTCCCTCCGCTCCTCCTCCTCCCGGCTGGCTGCGGTCGCCGCCGCTCCCGCGGCCCGGCGAGGCCGCCTGAGGAGAGCCGGTCTGTAATGGCGGGCGGCGGGAGCAGCCCCTCAGGCACCGGCCCGCCGCCTCCTCCCCTCAGCGGGAAGGCAGAGCACCGAGGGGCTCCTCTCCTCACCCAGACCGGGTGGGCTCGACAGGCGCACAGACACCCTTCTTAGTTCTGGGGCTTTTCACAATTATCTTACGTTTTAGAGCCGTGGGTTTCCCGGGCAGACGCTTGGTGAGTTTGGTTTCTCCCCGTTCTCTGACAGAAATCCCGCTCTTCTAGCACTGAAAGCCGGTGTCCTCTGCCCTCAGCCCTGACGCCACGGGCCTGAGCAGCTGCCGGGCTACCCAGCCTGCCGAGAGGAGAAGCCGTCCCAGCCAGGAGCCTGTGTGTGGGACGAGAAGAAGGAAATGCAGGTCAACGCAGGAGCAAAGAAGCCACCTTCGGGTTGGGACTGAGGTGCTTTCCCTTAGCTTTTCGTCAAGTGTACCTCTAGAGAAAGTCCACTGGATATCCCTAGTATCGAGCACAAAAGTGGATCGTACGTGTGTGCTGGCCAACCAATTTCATCCATACGATCCAAATATTTAAACCCAGAAATAGTTACTCGTTTCCTAATTAAGTGAGACGTTCGGTTAAATTGCCAAGGGCCAAAGAACTCCTTTTTGTCAGAGGGACAAAGCACCAGTTTAGCCACATGCTGGGCACACAGCACGGGGGGTCACTGCAAACCTGGGGCAAGCTTCATCCACCCAGAGACTCCTGGGGAACGGTACAAAGGTGTGTCCACACGTGCGTGACCAGATACCCTTCTGCCTTTTTCCAGTCACTTATAAACTTACCTCCTTCAAGAAATCAGCTGCTAACAGCCATTCACCCTCTCGCACTTTTGTTTGGGATATTTTTTCATTTACAAAATCCCTTCTGAAGTCTTCACTGAAAAGACTAAATAGCACTTTGGAAAATCTGGCTGCAGGGGTAAAAGCTGCAATAAAGAATGCACAAACTATCTGAGACCTTTGTGTTTCATGGGCAAATTATCACAAGCACCAGGAACCAGGACCATTGCCTCTTGCCTCTGCTAGGGGGTCTTATCAAATGAAGCAGTGTACTCTTCTGTACTTGAGGACAAATGGAGTAAATACCATTTATCCAGTCTTCCTTCTCTGGCCATTAGCATCAAATGTGTAAATCCACTTACATGTTTTTACTGGCTGATGTACTGCTGTTCAGCTGGCAGTGGAAAATCATCCTGTTCCCATTTAGGTGGAGGAGGCCTCTGCTTAAGACTCAGGGATGTCTGGAGTGAGCCTAACTCTAATTCAGCTGGTAAGGAGCACTCACTGAAGACAAAAGTGTAACTCCAAACAAATCCTACTTCTCCCAACTGAAAAACAAAATAAGCAAGGGCAAGTTTATAACCTCCTTGCCTACACAATATAACACTGTCTTTACTTGTTAAAGGCATCTTCAGACACCCCTAAATTCACTATATTAACAGGAGCAAGATTTAGCCCAACTCAGGAGAACAGCCCCAGCTACAGTTTGGGTTGGGATGGGGCCAACTGGCCCTTTGCAATACCTGTATTTTTTTCTGTGCAGGATAATCAGTGAAGACTCGGCACCAAGAGAGAAATCATGCACAGTATGTCAGCCATAATTCTATCATAGCAACTGTAATACATGATCAGTGACAGAAGCTCTTAGATAGTTGGTATTCTTATGTCCTTATGTCCCTGGAAAAAAACGTAAATTTTATGCCATGTGCATCTTGTTTTGTCCTTCCTAACTAAATGCCTACTTTTCCTCAATTTTTGGACACAGAGCGTATTAACAACCTCTTCCCCAACCCCTTTCTCTTTACCCAACTGCTCTTTGCAGCCTCCTCTTCCCACATCGTATGTGAACAGAAGTAACCATCACTGTCTGCTATGGAAAAAAAATACGGTTGTCTACAGCTAAGGCCAAGGGAAAATGAGGAGGGTCAAAACATGAAACTATGTATTTGCTTTCAGGGGATGCCTTTTGAGGGCACTCACCATGTTTCCTATATATCATGGAGTAATGTATACACAGAAGGAAATGTATGTGTGTTGAGTTACATTCTATCACATAGAGACTGAAATAATTTGCCCAGGAGTGAAGGCTAAGCTCGAAGTCGGTGGAGAATGTGCACTACAAAACAATCAAGGTCTGTATCTGAGTCCATTCAAAGCTAACATGCATGTTTCTTTGCACATTTGAATTTTTACAGGTGCCTTCTCCTCAGTTAGTAAGCCATGCCAGTCTAGAAGCAAAAATGCGATGCACGCTACTAGGCAGAATTTGGCCCCGTTTGGTATGTTTTTATTCTGGACTGCAGCAAGGGGAAGCACCAATTTCATCAGCATGTTCCTACAGTTATTTCACTTACTGTGCAAGATGCAGTCTGTGAATGGTACGTAGCAGTTACACTTCACAAAACAAACAAATCTTCTCTCTGTAATTTATGTGTAGGAGGATACTCGCATCTTTCATATGTAAAGGATTAACAAGATCTATCTTAGCCAGCTCTACTGAGTGAGAATCAAAGCTTACAGAGATGGTGCTGTTCCTAGTTCTTTATTGGTAGAGGTAAACTTAGTGAGAAATCACGAAAATCCTCCAGGATGGCAGTGGGAGTTGCACAAACAGCTGTATACCAGATACAAGTTTTGCTGCGTGCCAAGTTATATTGCTTTTTTTCTTCTTGCGCAGTTAATGCTCATTGCATTGCTGTTTGTAGTCCACATGTTTTGGTCAGTTGTCACAGTTCCAAAATAAATAATGGCTGCAAGAATCCATACTGAGTGACACCAGACACACTTTTTACCTTCTCAATATCTCCTCTCCTCTTGCAAAGCTCATCACAGGTACCTGCTTATCTTTCTCAGAGAAGGTGCTAGTTAGTAATTACAGTGCTATAGTTAGGCAAAAGACAGTATTTACAGTTAGTTTTTCTTCCACTTTGCAAAGCAACTGTGTGCAAGGGATTGCATCAATCATTAAAAACTGTGGAGATATATTTCAAATTCTTTGCCTCCTCTATTAGAAGGTAAAACCAACACAATTGGCCTTAAGTGGTGCAATGCCGCTCAGCTTTCAGGTGCATTTATTTCATATGTCTTGGGCAGTAAAGCTACATCTGTCCTGATTGCATGTATTAGCTAATACCAAGGTACAGGCAAGTCCAGAACTGGAAAGAAATTGCTACAGAAAAGGGAAAGAAAATTGAGGGAATTTTAGCCTTTTTTAAATTAGAATATTTTGAACAGAAGAAAATAGCACTGTTTTCTAAATTTACGCAGCCTAACATTTTCAGCATACAAGATTCTTAGGACTTCCTTTGAGAAGTGCTCTCCCCTCCTTCCTTCCTGCTTGTTTATAGATAAATTTTGGTATTAAATAAGAGGAAGGGTGGAGTTGTGGAGGGTCTAGTGTCCCTGTCCTGTGACACTCATACTGAATTTGGCTTAAATCTGAAAAATTAAAAAAATAAAAAATCCCTTGTCACATATGTTCTTCAGAAAAATAATGGGCTGCTTGTCAGAAGTTAATAAATTAAACAATCCACAAATAGTCTACTGCTGAGCTCATAGCATTTGTAAAGCATTAACAGAGTCACCACAGCAGAAACACCAGCAACCTGATGGAGTAACAGCAAAGAAAGCAGCAGCCAGGGCTACTCCTCCTTCACGCTCTGGGGCCCAGCAATCCAGCCCCATTTTGGATAAATAGCTTTCTTCCGCTGCCTGTTGATGTTAGTCACATAGTTCAAGTAAACAAACATTTGCATCCCAGTGCTGCAGATTTAGAGTTCAAAGGTGGATTATTTATGAATAGTTTGTTACAGCTGAACATAATATGGGTGGGTTTTTTTTCTTCTATGACAAAACCACTGATAAAGCAGACTTGAATTTATAAGCAAGAACATGAGGATGAGGGGAAGAAGCAGGATGCGACAACAGAGAACGGTACGACAACAGAATCCCTGGCCCACAAAGTTTTAGGCCACATCTGTAACTGTAAAAGAAACCATAGCTTGCAAAGTTAAGTTCTCAAAATCCCTGCCCTGCCTTGGATTATTTGTGCAGGACAGAGTTCTTGCTACAGAGGTTACAAGCCTAGTTGCACATAACTAGTCATACATAACTGGTGCACAATGAAATATTGAGATTCAAAGAATAAAGAGTTGATAGAGAAGAACACATGCAAAACTTGCTTGTAAACAAAAATAACATTGTGCATGCCTGTACGTGGGAAAGAGCGGTTAGTTAAACAGAAAATCAAAAAACCCTGCATGCTACTTAATAAATATGGAAAATTTAGAGCTCGGAGCCATGTTCACTGGGTCTAAATTTTTACGTGCCTGTATGCTAATGATTCTTATGGACTCTTAAGGCCTGCACAGGCAAAAGGCAAACCACAATTTCAAGGGCCTGGATCGCATCCAGGCCACCTGAATGTGACTCTACACGTCCGATGAAAGTGGGAAAAAGAGCAGGTGGCGAGAGAGAGGGTGCAGTTCCGCTGAGGTCGTTGTGGCTCACGAAGCCTCAAAGCCTGATGATCCCAGGAGTGAATCCGAGAGGATGAGATCACACTCGGAGTGAGGGAAAATGCTGCCATCTGGTGCCTCTGACGAAATTTTTTTAAAAAGTAAGAAAAGAGGGTTATCTTGGTGATATGTTTGACCTGCAATGGTGTCAATGCTGCCGGTTCAGCAGGAGACCTCTGGTTGTCTTTTTGTTGTTCGAAGGTGTTACCGTCCTGCGTGGCATACGAAAGACTACCTTGTGAAGGCATATGTTGAATCTCAAAAGAAATAGTCTGAAAAAGTGCATTTTACAGTGGTTTGCCCAGAAGAGAAATATCTTTACGTATTAACATAGTCTTTAAGGCAGGGGGATTTTAGGAAAGATGGTTTTAAACAAAAAGTCCCTTAGCTCTCAGAGCATAACATACACCTTGTTTATTTTGATGAAGTTGTACATGTTCACACCAAGAGACTGCAAAATGCTCTTCTATCACAAATCCTATATGTACATATTTTATTACTGTGTATTAGAAGAAACTTGAAATCTGTACAGTACACCTGAAAAAGAACCAAGAAGCTGCTCTTTGCTATCAGGTTTTGTGAAAAAGTTTAACAGAACAAGGATTCAATGCGTTTCTTTTGCAGAACTGGCTTTGACCTCGACAGTCACTGCACGACCTTTAATGCCCACTATTTTATCCTATGAGCATTGCAGATTATCCTTGGTCAGTACACATCAGAAGCCTCAGAGGATACAGGTCAAGACAGTAAACACTGCTTATTTTTATGATTTCCCTTTTACTGCAGCCTGTTTCGAATTGTTGATACAGCCTCAGAGGATGTGCAAAACATGTACTGAGACACTCCATGGTGTTAGAATGAGGGAGTGTTATTTTTGTCTAAGATATTTTAATTTTTACAGGCTTTCACAGAAAGCCATAATGGTAGCTTGGAGAGATTGAAATGACTGATCAAATAAAACCCCATACATTGCTCTATTTTAGATGTAGCAGTAATAAAGATAGCTCTATCTGTGAAATTAAATTTGTTTGTCCCTTGACTGAGGTATAGGAAAAATCCAAGGTTCACAGGTCAGCTTCCCACTGGAAGAAAACTGAGTGAAGTGGGTTAGATACCTTATTTATTTTTAAACACATCATTTTTGGAACAAAACGGTCACAGAACCTCAGACATGCAATCCACTCTCGCAGATAAACTCCCACACCACCATCAGTTTCCTGGGAAGATACTCTAATCCAAGAAAAGCTTCAAGCTCATGGAATAATCCAAGGACCAGAGAGTCTTCCAAAAGGTTTCTTGTACAACTCTGCACAGCAAACAGAAGGAACATGTTTACAAGCAAAGAAAAGGGATTTGTAAAGCTCTGACTAAAAGGGCTTTCTCGTAACTGCCTTAACATATACTTTCCCACTACAACTAAAGTATCTGATTTATTAAGATGCAAATTTAGTGCTAACTTTCTCTCTTCCAGTGAGTGACTGATGCAACCAAACAAAACTTTTGCTACCGCAGGTTTCTGTTATGCATATCTGCAGACAACCTGAGTCTGTCATGGCACAGACTTCAGTAAGTACAGAAAATTGTGAGACCAAATAAAATTTAGAACACCCTAATTTCCTAAATCACTAGGGGACTGCTTTTATTCCAGCTTTCAAAGAGCAGACAAGTAATTAACAAGGAACATGTTAGTTAAAAATATTTATTATTACTTACCACGCCCTTTGAAAACAATATGCCAGGTTAACCCTTTGGCTAAATTACTAAAGTTCTCTGGAAAAAAGGAAGTTACTAGATTAGCTATATGAAGCTTGATGTCACTTCAGAAAGGCTGTTTCAAAAACTTCCTGTTTCCACGGTAAGCTACTTCTTCCATTTAATTCCTAGCCTTAATGTATTTACAACCACTTTATATACATTTGTTCCTAAACCCCCTACATTTTCATTCAAAATGGAACTAGATCCTCCTATGACTAATGTTGCACTGGAAGAACTTGGGAGTCCCTTCCTCTTCAATATCATTAGAATTGCTTGCGTGTACATGGAGGGAGTCTGGAGCTTTTAGATGTGTACAGAGCTTACTGTAGAGGAGGAGTAATCTCTTTGACAGTCTCTTGCCTGTGAACAAATTGGGCAACTTAAAGCCCTTCTAATATTATTAGCTATGTCATATAAAACTAGTTTTAAGAAACAACAAAAAATCTTGTCAGTGCTTGTGGCAGCCTTGTTAACAGCAACTTACATCATCAGTCTCCCTTCAAGTCATAGTCTGGGAAGGGCATTTCAATTCAGACATAAAAGCAGCGTGTCTTCTATCTCCAAGTAGAATAATTGTGTCACATCAGCTAGGTGATCCAAAGAAATTTCTTATTAGCCAAACTATTGACTATTCCAAAAGTAGATGGTGAGAATTTTCTGTGGTAGATTGCCAGGTAACTAAGGGCTGCTTCTGAGCAAGCCATGTAAAACATGACTGGAAAGAGCCCATGCTTTGTCAATAGGCTTAAACCCAGTATACAGGGTCCACATCTCCACTGGATCATTCTTTAGGAGTCTGCCTATTGAGAAAAGTGGAAAAACCAGCAGGTTAAAATAAGCATGACATCCAGTGTCCAGAGAACTGAAATAGTAGTAGAGATAAGCTACAGCCTTGGTATATTTGTCTGGACTCAAGGATAACAAAACACAGTTCATGCTATCTATAATCAGAAGTTACCTGGTGCTTTTCAAATGGCTAGATGTGTTAGTCTCTGGGCCCGTGTTACCACAATACCATGCGATTTCCTCAGAACCCCAAATAGTTTCCCAGAATATTCTAGCTATTGGTCTACAATCGTCGCTCAGTGTACTCATGCATTGCAAAACCTCTATTGCAGGGTTAAGAAATAGATTTAATGTGTCTTAGCTTTTCATTGATTTATGCAGACTGGTACTGATAATTATCTGTCAGCAGCATTGTACATCTGTACATCAGCATACGGTACTTTAAACATGTAAAAATGACACTTTACCTTGAGTCACAAGAGGAAAGAAGAAACTCCTGGCTTTGTATGGTTTCATCGTTTTGGCCAACCAGCTTTTGCAAAAAAGGTTTTTTAATAGGCAAAATGAATGCTCAACCAAAACTTCTGGAAGAAGCCATGTATGAATGTCCCATGGCAAAACTACAACCAACTCAGTACTTGGGTGTCAGCTTCCTTATGCTCTTTATTTAATTTTTTCATGCATAAATACTGCCTAAAAGAATGGGTTCTTCTCTCAACACCCAATTGCTACTATCAGATGTAAAACGTAGGCTTCTGAAAATGAACTGAAGTCCCAGCTGCAAAGTCTATAAATGTACCTCCTGAGGCAAGAGAAGTGGTTGCGGCTTGATGTAATGCACTGTCGTGGTTTAATCCCAGCTGGCAGCTAAGCCCCCCCCAGCCACTCACACACACACACACCCCTCAGTGGGATGGGGGAGAGAATCGGAAAAGTGAAAGCGAGAAAACTCATGGGTTGAGATAAAGACAATTTAATAGGTAAAGAAAAAGCTGCACTCACTGGTGGGGCAGTGTGAGGAGCAGAAAAGGCCTTGACTCTGTGTAAGCCCTGCTTAGCAGTAATGAAAATATCCCTGACTAATCAACACTATTTCCAGCATAAATCCAAAACATAGCCCCATACTAGCTGCCATGAAGAAAATTAAGCCTATCCCAGCCAAAACCAGCATATCCACTTCTGAAGTTCAAGTCAGCCACACAGGTCAGTCAGACAGGACGGGGTTTGGACACTACCTTGCCAGATGTATATTCACCCCAACGATGTCTGTAGCTAGTGTGGATATTTTATTGCTAATGGATAACATGTCTGAAAATAAGACTTGGGTATGAAAGGCAGCAGTTTCCCTGCATGATTTTAAACTTACTTCTTTTTCCTTAAATCAACTGATCAAGAAACACACAAACTAGCTTGCATATTTATTTTAATCCTCTCATCTCTTCCTCTGCCTCCTTCTCCTCCATCACGTGATCATTTCTTCCTCAAAACACCAGATAGTTTTGTACATTGTCAGCAGTAAGAAAACAAGTGCAGGACTCTCTGGAATTTGATGGGCCTCTGACAGAAGACATTCCTGAGTGTTATTACACACTTGCTGTCACTGCATGTGCCACCCTCCTCTCTCAAAACATCCAAAGAAGGCTCCTGGAAAACAGTCCCTTCCCACAAACTCCTCCTGCTGGTGTTCCCTCATTTGGAGTGCAAATCTTTCAACCGATTAGCTGTCTCTCCCCATCATTTCCTCTTGTCCCCTCTGAAGAGATAAACTGCAAATCTTGCAACTGATTTTATTTCCACTTTCAGGCACCGATCAGAAAGGCATGGGGATATACTCTTGTCATCAGCAGAAAATGCTGACTATCACAACTGAGCAAAGAGAGGACAGTTCCTGCAAAATCTGTATTCTGGGAACTGGGAAGTGGCCAACAGAGCTTGAAAAATCTCTCTTAGCTGGCTAATAGGAATATTCACTACATGTGTCTAAAACATTACATTTTCCAGCAGATGCTACAGGAAGTAAATCAAGGTAAAGGAGTGATATCTATAAGGAAAATAATGAATGTCATATTTAATAGCTTCTAAACATTACAGAGATGGACCCATGCAGACAACACTTCAGCTGTTTCTTCTCCCTGTCACCTAATGAAAGATCATGCAAGGAGATTTTTCTTCCCCGTTTGAAGGAAAGCCACAAACCACCTTTTTAGGAGAAGAGGACTGTCCTTAGCTTAGCTCTTCTTGTCAAAGCCAAAGAGGTAAGAGGTAATGCTTGCAGACACAGTTGCTGCAGTAATCTATTCTCCAGCTTCTTCAAGAGGTGCCAATCTTTTGGCCACCCAAAGCCTCAGTTATCCCTCATAAGGAGGTCTTTGATCTAGCTTTTTCTATGATTTATGACACAATATTGAATTCTTACCAAAATGACTCACCTTCGGGCAGAGATAAAGACTGCAGGAGAAAACGTGCTGGACTTCAGCCTCTGCAATACAGACTCACCAGTTACAGATGCTTATCTTCTCATTCCCCTCACCCAGGAATCACAGCTGGTTCTTAAACATACCTATCACAAGTTTGAGGAAAAGACTCCCATGAAGTGGTCTTTGGTCCAGATTCTAGCAGAACAACTAGTGAAAAGGAAAAATGAAGCAAATTTAAACAAATACCAGGACTAAAGCATAGAACGTCCTGAGTTCACAGCACCATTCATACCAAGAACTGAATTTGTGGACTGGCAGTATTGAATTAATTTAGGGGACTTTAACATTTATAAATGATGCAACCTTAAACAGGAAATATTAATTGGGGAAAAAAAAAAATCAATATAATTTTAAGTTACAGGATTTGTTTTTTCCTCCATGACTGTCTAAAGACTGGGGGAAGACAAGACAAAACAAAACACTCAAATTACATTGGCTCACATGCCTCCTAATACTCTGAGAAAAGAATCACATTTCTGTGACAATTTTCCAGTAGTAAAATAGCTTTTAAATTCAAGGTGAGATTGCTTTGTCAACAGGACTCGATGGTATAGTTGTACCTGCTGTAGGGGATTGTATTACGTGACCTACAAATGCTATTCAATTCCTGTTTCTCTGTCACACAAACCACCCATCAGATTTACCTAAAATTGAAAGGTGACTCAATCTCCCTATCCAGAAATAATGTTGATATTTTTTGCATGAGTGCAAGCTGTAGCTTGCACTGTGATTATCATAAACTCCTTCCTGAGACACCCAAGGAAGATCTCTACCATGTAGGAGTTTCCATCACCATTCCTAGAGGCTTACTGAGCAATTCACATGCTTCCCACGTACCACATTTCCACCATCTGCAGCTTTCACGTGGTTTCCAGATGTCCTATTGCCACTAGCAGCCCTTTGTAAGGCAGCCTCCAGAGCAGGGCTTTCTCGCTGTTTCCAGGGCAATGCCAACATGGCCGCATTGTAGCCCCAGCACACCAAAACACCATGTCCAGCTTAGGCAGCATCTCGGCACCTTCTCACCACCGGCCAGAAGGCTAAACTCAGGCCACGCTCATCTTGCTTTAACTGCACAAAGCTGCTTAGTTTCTGATTTAGAGTCACACCCTGCTTTTCTGCCTTTTCCCAGTCCATTTGGCACATTCGGCCTTTCCCAGTACCCCACCCGGATTTTCAGAGCTGACTCTGCCCCGTCCCCCCGGCAGCAGCAGGCAATGGCACACACGGCACCTGGAGAGACTTTTTCCCTCATTGCCCTCCTGCAGGTGCTATAGGGGTGGGATTGCACTGTTGCTGCACATGCGTGCCAGCTTATGTGTTTTTTCTGCAGGGGAACAGTGATTTGGAGCAAGAGGAATTGTGTCTAACAGGCTGCAGAGGGGATTTTTTTGGAGGTACTTTGCGAGGGGAGAGAGCTGCTTGAAAGAGCCAGGTGCAGGCACAGAGCTTTTTTTTTTTCCTGGGGGGGTGTTTTATAAGTTGAGGAGAAAAATGGAGGTGGCCTGAAGAGTGTCATTTGTGTGCTTGAATAGGTCCAACTGGGCTTTCAGCCGGGAAAGGCTGTGTGCTCCTTCCAAGGGCCAGACACAGCAAGCTGGTACAAATGAGCAGCATAGAACAAGGGAATAGATCTCAGATTTGGCTATTTTGCACAACTGCTTTCATTTTGGGTCATCTCAATCCATATAGAAAAACCTTCATCTGCTTCTTCCCTCACCCCCTCCCCAAAATATACAAACCGCTATTTTTTTGGCTCAATGAGCAGGTGAGAAGCAGAAGTGGCCAATTCAGAAAGATGATCTGCCCAAAATTATAGGAGATGATTTCACGCTATTGTGAAAAAGATGTGGCGCCTGGATATATTACTTTATTTTCAAGTTGTTGCACCTAGAAGAGTCATAATGTAGAAATTTACTTGATGTTTTAAATAGCTACTTCCACGAAAGTATCATCTTTCCCTCAAGTTCGGGGTTTTGGTCTGTGAATACAGCTAATTTAGGCATTACACTTCCGTCTCTCAACTGGGTGGGTGTTGGATCAGATGCTCGTGGCTCTGTGGGAACACCAGGTGGGTGCACTCTGCAAGGCCACCCTCTGTGCCATGGGCTGCAGGCTTGCCTTCAGGGCAGCTGGAACCTGAGAGCGGCACCTCCAGCACCTAACGCTCTAAAAAAAGATAAAGCCATTTTCAAGCTACTGGCTCCACTTCGAGGCATTTTGTTTGTTTGTTGGTTGTTTTTTTTTTTTTACAAAGCCTTGCAGAGGAGATGCCTGGCATGGTCTGTGTTTCACAACTGAACAGGTGAATCCTGCAGCAGGGCTGCAGGTTGCAGACAGTTTGCAAGGGGGGGGAGCTGACTGTGTGTAGGAGGAGGGAATTGGTATCTGCTCTGAAGCTGCAAGTAGCTTCTGGAGGCAGCTACACAACCAAACTCCCTCCTCTCCTCTCTTCTTGTACTTGAAAAATCAGGCAGCCTTCAAAAAAAAAATAGCCTGGGTTTTGTGGAATGAAGGGCCATACTCTAAAGACATTGGGAGGAGGTATAGCATCTAGCTTGGTCCTTTCAGTCAGACAAAAGGAGATAGGTTTCATTTGAACTACCAAAATATATCCTAATTTGGTAGTCCCAGACAAAAGTACTGTTTTTCAAAATATTGCATTCAGCTGTTAGTCTCTCAGGATCCATGTGAATGCATTTCATTTCTAAGTTTCTCCTTAACTTGTCTCTCAAAAGTAGGGATTGCTGTAGGGATTTTTGCTTTAGTGTTTTGTGTGTTTTTAAATACAAATAATAAAAAACCCCACAGACAGCTATCTTTACAGCCTATCTGAAAAGGCATACAAGTATAAAATAACCTATTTACTAATTGTTAGATAGAGAACAAAGATTAATGCTGATAAGGTTGAATTGTAATGCATTTTCCAAAAGAACAGTTACTGAAACAAGAATGTGAGAACCAGGCATAAGCAACGGAGAACTTGCACAGCATTTATAAAAATAGGTTGCTACATCAGTCCTCTGTAAAACAATAGTTTAGTCTTCCTCCACTCTAAAGTATACTAGAACTACAGTCTAAGCAAACGTAATATTAACCCAACTGTATTCTCACTTAGGTCAAGTTTAATCAAGACTTGTCTTAATTCAAACAGTAATATCGCATCCCTGATAAAGAGCAAGTTAAACCTCCCCTTGCATCGAACACCATCATGTTCCCAAGAGTTTCGGGGTTAGCTCAGATTAATTATGTTTAAATTATTTCCTGGTCTACCAATGTAAAGATCATCATCTGATCCCTTAGAACAAGAGCAGCAAATTAAAGCTCTCTGCCACTTACAGCAAAGCCTACCTTATTGCACCCTCATGGTGGAGTTTGCCTGCCTTAAATTTTAACGCTGAAGAGATACATTGTTTAAAAAAAAATCATTGCTTAGTTATATTGTTTGGCTTCCTACCTCTTAAAATTCTTCCAGGAAGGTTTTCAAAATCCTCACCTTTCAAATACCTTTGTCTTGCAATGGCACAAAATTGCTGCAGCCTTCCTTTATGCTTTTGCTCATGGCTTACCACACTGAGCTTATAAGCTACGGCAAGTCCTCAAGCTTTTAAATCTAGAAAACACATTAGCGTTGTTAATGCTTTCACCACTATGTTGGTGATTTGCAATCACCGCTTACTCGAACTTACTGGTGTAACAGCAAGCTTAAAGGCAGTAGCAAAGGAGGTCAGCTGGTTTTCCTCACTGCCTTGATGGACGTTAAGTGCAGGCTGGGTCTCCAGTGAGCTGTCATACTTGGCTATCACAGACACAACTGAACATAAATGTTCACCTGTGGAAGTTTTCAAGCATAGGAGTAAGTGTGTAAATTGGAAGAAATTTCTAGCTACAGCACAGTTAAAGACAGAGAGCTTCCAAGTGAGGCAATTAAGAAAAAACCCTGCAATTCTTGGGCAGCATTCCTTTTTGTTTGTTTTTAAATGAACCCTTCAAAAAGGGAAGGGGCAGGAGTGGAACAGACTGAATAAAATTGCTCTCAATTTAATCTGTTTTACAAGGGAGTTTTCAAAGTTTTTAGCCTAGGAACATCCAAATTATCAGGCAATTGGGACTTCCTCCACATACTGGGATTATACAGATGCTCCAGCCACAAAACCAAACCAAACAACCATGAAGCAGAAGAATTTGTGTGAAGTTAGTGTTATTGAGCCACTGTGGATAAATCATTCTTGTGTTAAAGACATCCCTAATCTCTGCACAAATTAAAAAGCAACCATGAAGTACACAAGGGGACCTTGTCTGATTCTGACAAATGCTCTCTTCTGAACTTTTGCGGTATGCGAGTTTCTACAGACTGTAAAAGACTAAATAAAAAAAGCATTTCAAGCTTTCTCCTAAAGATTTACAGTTTGTGATCTGGTGGCTAGGAATGATGCCACCTGCAGCAGACAGGCCATTCTGTTGTCCTGCTGCATGCGGATCTTCTCAGAAAAAAAGCTCGTAAGCAGCAGATGTCTACAAGCTATTTTTTTTCTATCTTACAGCCTCTGTTCAAAAGGGGTGGTATTACATTTACTGTATACCAGATGAGATAAATATGATAACTTCAATGTTGACAAATTATTTAGAAGAGCATAGAAGACATATACCATGTTGTTTTCTAGCCAAAGCTTCAGAGGACATTATCCTTGGTTTGAAGTAAGGTCAAATACACCAACACGTACAGACTAGCACTCTTTTTGATGCCACCCTAGCAGAAGCAGGGTTATCTACCAAATCTTACAGTGACTTATTAGATTAGCAAAGATCCTTTTGGTTTAATGGTTAGCGCAGTGGAGGCTTGTGTCCCCACTCAGTGACATTCTTGGCCTTAAGAGCTGTTATGAATGTCAGTCTCCGGGCTTCTTTTATAGCTATGCCTTCTGTTTCTCTTGGGATAGGAAGTGTTTGTAAACATGTATTTTTGCAACATGAAATTACTTTGGTTGCATAATGACTATAATTTGTCACTTTACAACAGAGGAAGCTAAGGACAAATTTACATTCTGCTTTTGAAAGTACATCTGGCATTAGAAGAGGTGAGGATGCTGCAAGCTAAAGGAAAAGCTTCCCCTTGCCTTTGTTCACTTTGCCAAGTGGCCTCCCTGGTTTTTGTTTGAGGCTGAAATTAGCTAACTTGGGACTGGTTTGGAAACATGTCTTTGCTGGAGACAAGAGGGTCATTCAAGTGTGGGAAAAGCTATTTAATAACACGGCATTAGATCGCTTTGAGCCTAAATTGAAAACCTGAATTTTTCCTTTCTATTTACTAGGTGTATTTAGTCTTGAAGTACTGCGGATTGCATGGGGGCAGTTTGGTCACTTTGCTCAAGTGTATGGGTGTAAAAGCTCTTAGGGAAAATCCATCAAGGTAAACCAAAGGCTTTCAGATCAACATGACGTGTTTTGATTAAGCCGATTCCAGTTAATGTGAAAGCTAGAGTTAGCAGCCTTTGCTGCATGTTTGGGAAGCCGTATTCTTGAAATACATTTGAAGTTACTTTTGCTCAGACAAACAGAAAGGTTATGGGGGATTTAAAAACCCAAATCCAGATTTGTGCACTGCAGGATTTCTGCTTGGCCACTAACTAACCCTGAAGGTTTTTGAAAACATAAATGCCTATGCACTTTCCAATTAAAGCTCCCCATGTTCACCAACTTCTGCTTCTGGGACTACTCAAAACACAGGTCTCCTCCAGCCTGAGGATTAGCCTGCAGATCCACGCTCATCCTGAACACACCAAGCCTGCATATGGAGCCTTCCACAGCCCCTCCTCTGGAGGTGCTTGGCATGCAGCATCTGCCAATGCCAACTTTTTCCAGGAAGGAGCAGGAAGACATGTTTGCTTCCCGGCACAGAAATGGCATTGGGAAATGGGACTGAGAACTGCAGCTTTGGAGGTGAATGCCTTGCCCTTTAGGATAACTAAACATGCATTTTCCTCCTCAGACAATCTCCACATCAAAGATTTCTGCTACAAAGAGCCACTGTGGGAGATAAGGAAGGTCTCATTCCTGACATAGCACAGAGATGCTCTCAAACCCAGCAAGGACACTGAACCCTGAGCTGGGCAACTACTTTTCCACTGCTGTATGCTGCAGTAGACATGGAGGGGTGATGGCTGCACGTCTGCACCTCTCCTGGGTGTGGGAGGAATGATGGTTCTTGCTTGGCTCTCAAGAGAGAAGAATTTGTTCTCTCTCTTCAGCAGCAGGTACCTCACTATAAATCA